CATTTTGGTTCTACAACTTGATTCAAAACTTTTCCCAAAGTTATAGCCAATAAAAGTTGAAACTTTTAAACACGCTAAAATAAATTTAATTTATTTTTAAACCCTATGAGATGTTAAATGGTTTATTATATGAAAAATAGGCTATAACAAATTTTTATTCTACACTGACCTTTTGAGCTTGCCGTAGCATCATTACCTAAATCAAATAATTATATAAATATAGATTTTGTTAGGAAAAACTTGTAAATGTAAACATTTCATTTAAAACTGAAACGAAACACCTCTAGATATAATTTAAAAATAAAAATATTATACTCCGGTTTTTCTTTATCTCCCTAGTAGGGGGCTATTACTAATTCTATATTGTATACTGACTTTGTGAGCTTTCCGGCTCTGTCGAAACAACTCCACCTATAAACCAAAAAATTTTACAAATAAAATAACTGTTTGCTTACTTTCAAAAAACAAAAAGGTTTGTGAAATAATAAAATGTTTATAGGTTTTACTTTTTTACACGATTTTATAGGAATCAAGATGTGATTATAATTGAAAAATAAATTAATATATAATTTTTTTACTATTTTATTTATAGCCCGATCTAAACTGCAAAGCTGTTATAATATTTCAAGAAGATTTATCTATTTACAAATAATATTAGCACCTTTGCTTTGTTTGCCGGTGGTGTGAACTTCTAAGTTTTAGAAAATATTTTGACGAAAAACACGGGGAAAACAATAAATGTAAGGAGAATGATATCAACAAGAACTGATATAAAGGTATGTAATAAATAACAATTTTTAAAGCATTTGATACTAATTAAAGTCTACTATAGATAACTATTAACTACTTTATTATCTAAACTGACCTTGTACATTCCTTTGGCGCGCAATATGCAATTGTTCTGTATTTAATACATCCATTTCTACAAATAAAAATATTAATGTTGCTAAATTTAAATTGGCATAAAAGTATGTAGAAAAATTATTATTAAATAGATTTAAATAGAAATCATGTTTTTTGCGATTTCTTAAGATTTTGGTGAAGCTATTACATAAATATACAAAATTTATAGATAGTTGTTACTAACCTTGTATTATTGGCACAGCTTGTGGGTCTAAATATAAATAACATAATTGAGTATCAATATAAATTCATATTCATTACAAAATTATGTGTGAATTGGGAAAAAACTCTTCATTTAAAACTGAAACGAATTACCTCTTGAAATAATTAAGAAAATAAAAAATCGAGGTTTTTCCTTATCTCCCTAATATATATGTAGAGGGCTATTACTAATTCTATATTGTATACTGACTTTGTGAGCTTTCCGGCGCTGTCAAATTATCCTCATTTGATCCTAAAAATGATACAAATCAAATTAATGTTTGCTAACTTTAAATTGTTAGAATAATATTTAGAAAAAATTGACAGTCTCTTAGAGTAATTTTGCGTTTAATGAGCTTGTAGAAAGTGTCCGATAATTCAAGCACTTTGTTTTGCGCAGCCTCTGAAATACGGCTACTTCAACACCAAAGATGACCCTTGGGTCATCTGGGTTCTTGATCGACGAGCAGCTTCCTGTCCAAATTGGTGATATGCTTAAGCACGTTTCCAATGTCCGCATCTCCGGCTTTGATGATCAGTTTGCCTATTTTAAACGGTGATTAGCTCCATTCTTAGTGCACGTGCTTTCATGGTCACCTCCGACTATAAATTAGTATTTTTTTCTGTGGTGTTCGATCTTGCACAACAATTGAGGATAAACGTCACAGGTTGTGATTTGTCCCTATTGCCATCAAAAGCATCTTTTTTGAAACAGACTTCGTCCCTATTTTAGAAGAGCTCCATTTCTATTTCATAGTGCTCCTATTTTGTGCCTTATTATTGTGATGCAACGACTAGTCCTCTGATTTTCACTGTCCGTGTCCATTAGAACCACCTCATCATTATCTGCCATATATTTAAACTGCACGTCGTTATCTTGAGTGTCCTCATTCGCTTTATCAGCTCGAGAAGTCTAAATGGCCAGTCGCGTTTTAAGCAGTCGTGGGAAGACAGACACGATTACTTAACTATTAATATTGAGCCACTCGATCCGTTTATCGCATCGGGTTACCGGGGAATGTAACAATTACACTGAATCGGCTACGGTCTCGTTATGTTACACCTTAATCACGATTAAGAGGGCAAAATTTGCTCTAAGGCTACCAAATTTGCTGAACCCTTTGCAATTAACTGCCCGGAGGCTGATGCCATGTTTGGGATGTCTAGGCCCCGAAATTGTGGTGGGTCCCTTCGAAGGGATTTAGACCCTAGAAATGTGGGCGTACCCCATAAAGCCTTTTAAAACTAAACGATCACCGTTTGATCAGTGTCTCTAGGATTATTTGCCGCAGAATTACGCGAACTCAAAATTCCCAAAATCTGGGGGGGGGAAAGGTCACTTTTAGTATGTAGTCGGCTTATGCACCCCAAAATGATTGCGGATGGCCCGGGTCCACTAACTAGGAAATCGAATGCGCTAGAGTGATTTGAGGATTTCGTGGGTGGGCAGGGGGGGGGGAAACTCAGAATTTTCTAAATCCGCAAACTATCTTTACCTACACCCGGTGAGGGGCACAAGCGGTATTGCGCACACGATATGTTTTTTTAAAATAAATTTATATAATAAATATGGCTGCGGTCCAAACGTGGCCACCAGCAACTTGAACGTTAGCGATTTGTGGTGTACGACTTATGTTACAAACAAATGTGCGCCTTATTTCATTAACGATAAAAGTTATTTACTTAAAATAGTTTTGATTGGACCGACTCTAAACCGGCACCGGTCCGAACGCGAACTTTTTACATTTTTTCACACAAAATTAAAAAAAAAAACGGAGCACTATTGACTCAGAAAATCGAATATTAATCAGGAGTGCACCAAAAGTATGGGCTCTCTAAAACGCTGTTAAAATAGCGCATTATTTTTAAAGATATTGAAGTTTCAAGTTTAGGGCATGAAGAAAGGTAGAGTGTGGTGTTATTTTTATCTGCGTGCACTTCCCAACTGCAATTCCCTTTCCATCCAAACTTTTTAACTCTTATAACTTTAAAAATAGTCGTTTAAAACTAGTTATCATCTAGTTTACAATTTTAGTACATTACACTTAGTTTAAAAAATTAATTAAATGTATGCGTTGCTATTTAAGTTTCAAAAGCTGCTATCAAGAAACCAAGTTAGGAGGGGAAAAAACAAAGAAAAATTATGAAATATCACATCATATAAAAATAATATGAAAAAAATAATTACATTTCTTATTAACTATCTACTTCATTTCTATTCTTAACGGTAACATTATACAATAATTTAGTCTGAATGTATTAAATAAAGAAATGTAAACGGCAATTATAGTAATACATAATAGAACGTGCCGTTAATATTGTTAGTTGTTACTTACCTGGATATGGTAGACCTCTTGTGACTAAATTAAAATAACAAAATTGGGTATCATTAAAAATTCATACTTACAAGCAAGTAGTGAAAATAATATAAAACTAGAAATTACCCAACGAGACATCCAAAATAATGAAAGTTACCAAAAGAATAGCGTTTTTCTGCATAATGTAATAATGAATTTTTCTAATTTAAAAAACACTGTCCAGTAAGGAACTTTGAAGTTGTACAGTCAAAATTAAAATGAACAATTAACAAATTGGTTTTGGCCTAATAGCGAGTGTTGTTCAGTTTCTACAAGCATCGGTTCATGGAAGTTTGACGCCAACGGTTTTCTTTTGGTGGTAAAACACTTGTACAAACTAACGACTTATCGTGGATTTCCATGTAGCAACGCGGTTGACTGTATCTTGATACCTATTTAATATAGCATTTGGCAATTGTATCCAAGTAAATTTCAATGAAATATTTATAATAACATTATTGGTGTAGCACCTTGGGTATATTTTTTAGAATATTTTCCGACATAATTATATTTTAAATTATAGTATTGTTAAGCCTCTCGTGGCTGCGTTTTCGTCGGACAGGCTGTCTTCTGAGGTTTATTCACAATATAGTGCAGATAAGGTTGCAGTTTTTATATTTTACTTATGTTAACTCACTAAATGGATAAAGTTTTTTTATTAAAATACAAAAATACTTTAAGTATACAAAATATATATTCCAAATATCACCAATTGCATTAGAGTGTTATGCTCAATGATAGAGGACAGTTAAGTGTATGCTTGAACGTTTAGAATCATCTGATCTCCAATGGCGAACGGGCGGCTTCTTATAGGGTCCCACTAGACAACTGGAGGTGGTTTTGCATAATTTTTTACAATTTGGCCCACACATGTCTGATCTTAGAAAGGGCTTGAGTAGGTGCTAGGTGCGGCTGCCCATCGGATGACCAATTTGGACATTTCCTTTCTAAAATGCGGGCGTATTAGCCATTAGTGATACGCGCTTGAAATACTGGACCTTGGGCCGTGCAGGTACGCCATCGAAATCTATCTGCATACAATTTTAATTGCGACTCTTCTCACAGTGTGTGTTGTAGGCCTCCTTACATACTTTATTATGTTCTTAGTATTTTTGCAAAATAGCAATAATATGCAAATTAGTGATCGGTTAATGCAGTATAAGTAACTGGCATTGTAACAATATATTATCTCAAAAGTAAAAATTCTTATTTTTTTGTATTAAACAAAATGTTACTACACTATGTATTATTTTTGACAAGTAAAATTAATTTATAAGGTTGAATCAGATAGTTAATCAACTAGTTTGTGATTTAATCAGATTACCAATTTTGTGCATTAATGACCGATGTATGACATCAATTTGTCGCCTCACGGACACCACAGAATAGCATTGTCGAAACACGCTATTTAAAAACGCACCTTTAAAAATTAATCAGTTTATTCTAAATAACAAATTATTTTTCAATCGGTGAATTCATATAATTTATGTATTGATAGGTAGAACTAATAAAAAACAAGATATTTTAATATTGGTCAGGTATTATAATTTTATTATGATTCAGTGAAATATATAATTTTGGTTTAGTAAAAGTTAAAACAATTTAATAAGAATTATCTGTGTTGAATGTAATGCAACTGGATTTGACAACGACACTTTTGGATCCTTTCTGTAATTAAAAAACGTCATTATTATCATTCATAGCTCAAATAGAATTAATTTCATAACATCACCATTGTTAAAACAAGTTAATTATACATATGTATTACAGTTATGCTTTTAAATTATCCCTCGAAGCACATCCCTTACATTAATTAAGAATCACAGAATCACAAAAATGTAGAGAAAAGGAGGAAACGACGCACCATATATTGTGTCATTGTAACTCCCTAGCTACTTTAAGGCAAATTGCTTTTGGAAAACCTTTCTTTGGAAAGGATGAAATCAAAGATATTAGAGCAAAGGAAATACTGAGATTTACAAAAAAACTCTGGTTTATTCAACGCACAGAGTTATTAAACTAAGTAAGACGTAGGTGTAAGGGCTACGTGAAATTGAACTTCCATGAGAGGGTGTGCACAATGGACCTGCAGATCTGAGTACATAGGCACTACCTGAGCCCACCCACTAACCAACTAAAACTAAAACTACTAAGCTTAAGATTTACAGCTGTTTAGCAAAACAAGTATTTAACAGAATTTTTCCAAATTTCACATTTTTTTATAATCATTTTGTCAAGTTGATTGGTTTTATTTAAAAAAAAAAAAAAAAATGCTTACATTTTTTTTGAAAAACTTTTTTTTGCCGTGACAATTTTGTTTTTGCCTAATAAATAAAAATAAAAATAATTAACTACAATAATATTTAGTAATAAAAGCTTTTTGTGATATAAATTATATTTATTAAATATATATAAACAACAGTTAATTTAGATTACCTCGTTGTTACAAACAATCATCTTCTCCAACAGTAAAACAAAGATCGTCTTTGTACGAATATGGCTCTGAAATTATTTCACTTTCATGTTAGGTAAACAATGTGACCTAATGGTTATTGATTATATAAGAGAATCAATGAATAAATAAATTAGTTGCTTATACATTTTTAATTAAAAAAAAAGATCTACTAAAATTAAGATAAAATTACTAACTAAAATTATTATGGCAACCTTCGTCGCAAATAAAACACGCGCCACACGCCAGGCAGCACAACAAATTTGCAGTTTGCTTGGACCGGTGTATGCATTCTAAAAGTGTGTAGAAATTTGTAAATTATATTTAATTCAAATTAAGTATGAAATTACTACATAATAACACAAACACATTACGACACACACACACATGACAAAACTTACTAACTTTAAAGCCCACGTACATATCTTATTTATCATTTCTTTAACCACCCTAAAAAATATTCCTCAAAACGGGTTTTCGTCAAACAGTTAAAATGTTTGAAACGTTGGAAATATTGTACACAAAACATTAAGTCAACTATATTGTATTACAATAAAATATATACTGGGTGATTGGTTAACTATGTGCAAATCAATAACCTAAAATATATTAGACTTTTTTTAATTTTATAGTTATTAGTCGGGACAAATATAATATATTTTTGAAAAATAGATCCCCATCACTTATATGTTAAAACCGTATGAACTTAAGAATTTTAAATGGTAGAGATGTTTTTATCTGCGCGCATTACTCAACCGCCCTTCCCCCCTCCATCATAAATATGTGTAAATACATTATATATCTATTGTAAGTGTTTCATAGTTATTCGATTTCAAAACTTTTAACTATTAATCGAAATAAAATAAATTATCTAGATATTTATGGTTAATCAATTTTATTGCCCAATGGGAACTCTCCTAATGAAAGGACTGAAGCAAATTAAAAAATAAGGTAATACAAAAAAACATTATATAACCTCTTAGGCCCTAGAAATTTTTTTTAAACTAAACGTCAGATGAGTTAAAATATTATATATTTTATAATATTAATTAGTCCATGTTTGTCAAATCTATTTGTTGACATAGTTTAAATCAATTTAAAAAAAACCACTATGAAATATTTAAAATTAAGCTAAAAATTTTATTTTTAATTAAACATACCTTTTCCTAAAGATTTTCCACATTTGGCGCAAACTAAAAACAATTATAAAGTTAGCTGTGTTAAAATTGACAGAAATATATTTGTGGAATTATTTACATGAATCGCATAATGCCAGATATTCTGAATTCGAAAATGTTTACAAAGTTAAGTATTTAACTTTATTTTATTTTATTATGGTATAAGGAAACAATAAAATGTTATTAAATAATTTGTCTATATTATCATATTGCATATTGTTGTATTAAGCATTGTCTGGCATATACAACATTTTGGGTTACACACTTTTAATGCATTATATAATTATAAAACAAACTCTTATGTATCCAAACCAAGTGTTTTTTTTTTTGGTTAGAATCGAAAAGTATTTCGTTTTTTAAGTACAAAATTCGTGTTTGAGGCCACTCTTAGGGATGGAATTTTCGAAAAGTACTACGCCATTTACATTCGAGGGAGTGTACTCAACTTTTTCAACAGTTTTTTTAAACTAAAAAAAAGAAGATAATATATAAATTTGTATTAAAGCTTTCATTAAACTATTAGATTGATCATCTTGGGGTGTTTGACAAGACCGAATATAGCCGACAAAACAAAACAAAATCAAGTTCATGTCTAACAACTCTATAAGGAAGAAAAAAATACACTTAACAAATATACAATCTTTTAGTATATAATATAAACGTTTATACTGACCATATGAATCCTTTTGGAGCATCTCCGCTAAATCCAAAAATGTTAATAAATCAAATTAATGTTTGCTAACGATAAATTGGCATAATGGTATGTAGATAAATAATAATAGAATTTGTGTTATGTTTTTTTTATACGTTTTTTAAGGGCTTTAATGGAGTTTTAAATTAAAACGAAAAAATTCTTTTAAAAATGTTACAACTGAATGATGAAAAACGTGCATTGATTGGGGTGAAAAGTAAAAGATTTATAATTACATTTAAAAATATTAATGTTAAGTATCCATTAACGAATTTAAAAATACAATGAATTATGTGCACTGAAGCTGACAATGAGATTAAAGACACTAAAAAAAACTGCTTTTTCTAATTCAGGAATAACACCATACATTTACTTCATTATAACTATTATTGTTAAACTATTATATAAAATAGATTACATATAGTACATACGTGTTATACTCATATAATTTTTTTCCTCGGTCTTTTGTATACCTGATGCAAAAAAAATATATAAATAAAATTGTAAGGTGGCATTATAGTCTTTTTTTGTGTAGCTTCTGATTGTGTACAATCTCGGTTATTAGAATCATATCATATCATATCATATCATACCATATTTAGTGTACATATTACTCATATCACTCATATTACTTTAAATATATTTTCAAACGTTGTATAAAATATGTATGACATACAATAGTTTTTATGTAAAGATTTAAAGCCATAAAAAACTGTTGTCCCGATTTTTTCCTCCGTTCAATATGTTATGGATACATAAGAGTTATAAATTTAGACAAAATTTTGACATTTTCGTGTCTTTGCTCTGACACATAACCGAAAAAAAAGTTATGAAAAACTTTTCACGAAAACTGACGTAACGAAAAACTATCATCTAGACTGACCTTGTACATTCCTTTGGCGCATAACATCAAATTCTTCTTTTTTTAATACAACCATTTCTACGAATAAAAATATTAATGTTTGCTAATTTAAAATTGGCATAGTACTATGTAGAAAAAAAATAATTAAATAGTTTTAAATAAAAATAATTTTTTTTACGATTTCTACAGATTAAGGTGAAGCTTTTACACAAAAAATGTATAAATCTTCATTAAAGTTGTCAAGATTCAACTGGCCTAAGTCCCATATATATATACAGAGTGACTATAACTTTAAAACAATGTTTTTTTTTTTTTGTTATTCCGAAATTTAATATTATATTTTATGACTGATATTAAAATACTCTTACAGTGTACAGACCTCGGAATTAGTGGAAATCAGTATTTTGATAAAAAATAAAATAGATACCATTTTTTTAATACAACTTTGTATTAGCAATACCTACTACATTTTTAATTTTTTGTTTAGCAAAATTGTTTTCATTTGTTTAGAGAAATATACAGATCTTTAATGGACTAATTTGACTATTTTTTAAAAGAGTTAGAGCGCCATGATTTCAATTACCAAAGTTTGAGATTTTACTCGGTATTGAAGAGGAAGGGGTGACTTTTTTAAATCGTTTGCCCATTAAAATACCTTGCAGGTTATAGACTCTATATAGTTCCTGTATAAATAATTCGATTCAGCGGTTACTACGAAAAATTAATTAAAATCCATAATTTTTAAAACAATTATTCCTCAGTTCCACATTAAAACCAAAACTAAGTTTAATTTATAACGTGCCTTATATAGATAGTTGGTATTTACCTTGTATTTTTGGCGCATCTTGTGGGCCTAAGTATAAAAAACAATGTTGGATATTAATATGTTCATTAAAACATAAATAATTTGTATAAATTAATATTTTGTCCAGCTTTGGTAACTACACTGCTATTCTACTTCACTCCTATTCTTAACGATAACATAACACAACAATTTAGTCTGAATGCATTAAATAAAGAAATCTCGATTATTTCATGACTGCGGTTTGATATGTCGACTGATTTTATTTGTTGACAACGATGTATAATAAATATATTACATTATGGTATTTACTAAGAGCCTATATTATATCACTTATTTTAAGGCTTATGTTGAAATACTTCTTTTTACTTAGCTACCATTTACACTGAGTTAATGAAGTGTTTTTGTTGAAATATCGGTAGTTTTTTAAAATATTATTATACAAAAATATAGTATTGACCGTCAGTATTTATCAATAGCAAATTAAACACAAACACAACACACCACAAGGTACAGCATAAGTGTAGCTGTGTAGCTGTAGACATAACAATGTTAGGACTCCCCCGAACCGACCCCTCACCGTCACACACAACGCCTGGCACCGCGCAGTCATCATAATAATTTTTTGACTAAAACAAGTATCTCGAAACCTCAAAAATGTTGTTTTATTTTGCTTGTAACTAAAAAAGTATTCAACCAATCAATATGTTAACTTGCTCGATCCAATCTACACAACTTTCCCAATCTACTGATATCTCGTATGTTCATTTCTGTCCAGCCGTTTGCCCAAAAAATCATTCCGAAGCGTCGCTTCGTGTATAGTATACACGGCGGTGAGCTCTCGCTATTTGTTTTACTTAGCTCCGCGCCACTACCGTGTCGCTGGATATAACGTGCCGTTAATATTGTTAGTATTAATTACCTGGATGTGGTAGACCTCGTGTGACTAAAATAAAATAACAAAATCTGGTATTAATAGAAATTCACACTTATAAGCATAAGTTTGTAAGGAAAGTTTTTATAGATAATTTACTATTTAATGTAAACAACAACAATCAATATAATATGCCGTTTAATTCAAACGGCTTAAAATTAAAACTACACTACATTGTTAACTTAGTATAGTCATCCAAAGGCTAAAGTAGTGTAAATAATAAAAATTACCCAAAGAGACTTTCAAAATAATGAAAGCTATAAAAAAAATAGCGATTTTCTGCATAATGTAATAATGAACTTTTCTAATCTAAAAAACACTGTCCGATTAGGAACCTTTAAGTTGTACAGGCTAAATTGTAATGAAAAATGAACAAATTTTATTTGGTGAGAGTATTTTAATAGTGAGTGTTGTTCAGGTTTTACAAGCATCGGTATATGAAAAAATGACGCAAATGATTTTCTTTTGATAGTGAACACTTGTACAAGCTAACGGGTGATCGTGAATTTTATTGTAACCACGCGTTTGACTATGACCTAAATATTTACTGTATTCCTATTCCATTTTACAGTATTATAACGATATTTTGTAAATCAGTTACCATTACATTATACTGTTAGTTTAAAAAACTTAAAATCATAAATAATCTAAATTAATAATTTCGTTTAGTTGGTGTTAGATTACACTTTATTTTGACAAAAAGTGTTACTCTGACTAAAATAGACATTTTTTCCAAGTTTTGTCTTAAATTTGTACCATATTATTCGGTATGCTTATAGAAATTGCCAAAAAAATGATTGCTTTACCCGATATCAAATCTTGTGACTAAAACCTGATCATATAGAATGTGTGAAATATTTTATGCGTGAATAGTCCGAGTAATAATACTGTAAATGTCAGGTGTAAGTATTGAATTAGCGTAAGCCTTTTTGTTTTAAACTAGGGTTTTCTTATATTAATTTATCCCATTACGTGAAATGTACTTACGATTTGTAAAAAAATATACAATTATATGGTGGCCATTATTTTACTTAACATCAATTTAGTTTTTACTTTAGCAATTTGACTCATTTTGTTTCTTAATTCAAAATTGAGAAAAACTACAAACAACTTATTATAAATAAAAGTGGTGAAATCATTTTTAAACAAACACTTTGATGCTAATTTGTAAAAACTGCTCCTGACTTAAATATTTTGTTCATGTGCTGATTCATTCTGTGCTTGGTTTGATCTCTACTGGTTTGAAAATACTAATTACTGATTCGCATCGAATCGTTTATTTAAAGGGGATTTTATCACTTCCATTTCTAAAAATTACTGTAAGCCGGTAACCTCCCCATCCTCACTATACCCCGACTCTACTGTACCACAACCACACTATGCTCTGTCCTCATTATGCCCTGACACAACTGTATCCAACTGTACCTAACTGGATTTTTAATTCTTAGTTTTTGGTATCAAACAATTTTTGCGTACACCATATATTTTTTTGTACACAAAATGTTTAAGTTAAATTAATTTAATTAGATTGGTTCAGATAGTTCATCTACTTGTTTATGCTTTTTTAAGATTACCAATTTTGTGCACCAATGTCTGATTTATAGCGACAAATCGCCTCACGGACAACACGAAAAGTCAACCCTTCAAACCACATGACAATAATTTATCGATAATATTATGATGATTTATCATTGTCGAAACACGCTATTTAAAAACGCACCTACAAAAATTAATCAGTTTATTTGTCACCCAGCAAACACAACGAAAAGCCAGAATAATTTGTCAATAGGTGAAATCATATATTGATAGGTATAATTAATAAAAAACAAGACATTTTAATTAGCCAGACATTAAAATTGTATTATAATTTAGTGAAAAATATAATATTTTAGTTTAGCAATTTAAATATACTGGATTATTCAACGACACATCTGGATCCTTTCTGTAATTAAAAAACGTTATTATTATCATTCATGGCTCAAATAGTATTTATTTTCATATTATCATTATTGTTCAAGCAAGTTATACATTTATATGTATTACAGTTAGGCTTTTAAAATATCCCTTGAAGCACATCCCTTACATTAATTTTTTTTTTTGTTAAACCACATAAATTATATTTTTTATAAGTTTCTATGTTTAAGATTTTTATACAACTGTTTAGCAGCTATTTAACAGAATTTAACAATAAACTTTTTAAAGAAACTATCTTCTTTACTTCAATAACTTTAAAAATAGTTATCCAAAACTGGTTATCGACCATTCAAAATTTGCAGTATTTTAGTTTAATTGTTTATTATTATACAATTTAAAAAGTTAATTAAATGTATGCGTTACCGTTTAAGTTTCAAAAGTTGCTATCAAAAAACAAAGTTAGAAGGGGGGGGGGGTAAAAATATAAAAAACGGTGAAAATTTGAGATCACATTGCATAAAAACATTATATAAAGAAAAAATTAAAATTTTATAATAAACCCAGTGAGATTTTGAGTGGTTCAAGATAAGTTAATCAACCTGTATACAAACAAATATTTTTTTACCTCTTACAATTATATAACTAATTGTTAGGTTAGGTTACCTTGTTGTTACAATCATGAACCATCAGGATTTTTTCCACATTCACCTTTCTCTGAAATTATTTTATTTATATGTTACGTAAAAAAATGTATAAATAAAATAAAAATAAGAATAGGATAAAAACAATTTTACATACAAAAATCAAAACAAATAAAGCCTTATAGCGTTAATAATAAAAAAAGCAAAACCTACTAAAAGACGGGCAACAGCATAGGACATTTGCAACTTGCTTGAACCGGTGTTTGGAAGCTACACAAACATTTAGGTGATTTAACATCAGGTATATAATTTAAAAGTTTATTAAAATTTGTAAAGCAAATTAAATTAAAATTAAATTTGAAATTACCACATAATAGTACAAACACATTACAGTGCGGACGTACAATAATTTCTTCACATTTAACCAGCCTTAAAAGTCGTGGTTTTTTTCAAAACGGTCTTCCGTTTACTGTTAAAGTGTTTGTTAAGTTGGAAATATTGTACACTAACATAAAGTCTAATTATATTGTCTTGTAATATAATACATAAATATATAATTTACATATGTATTGTACGTGTTTTTAATTTATTCGATTAAATAACTTTTAACCATAAAGCGTATTAAAATAAATAACCGAGATATTAACGGTTAATCAATTGTATTGTCAACCGAGAGCCCTCCTAATGAGAGAAATAAAACAAATTAACAAAAAAGGCAATGTAAAAAACATATGACCTTCTAGGCCTTAGAAATAATTTATAAACTAATCGTCAGCTGAGTTGAAAAATGTGTAGGGATACTAGAAGTGGTAGGGACGGGGAGATCACAGGTTTATAGGAACTTTCACAACTGAAAGTAATAAAATTACTTTTAAATAATCGGTTCGAATTAGTTAGTATTATTTTCCTTTATTAGCAATAATTGAGTGATTGAGAGGACCTGTGTCCTCTCCGTTCCCATTATGCTTTGACCACATTATGCCTCAACCGCACAGTACTGGCTTACTCGAATAAAATTACTTTAAAAGAAACGCTTTGATGATAATTTGTAAACACTGCACCTCATTATAATATTTCCTTACTGTGCTGGTTTATACTGTGTTTAGTTTGGACCTTACTGGTTTGAATATACTAACTACTCATTCGCATCGAAGCGTTTATTTGAAAGTGATTTTGTGACATTTAGTTGTAAACATTTCTGTTAGCCTGTGTTCTCCCGACCCCACTATGCCCCGACCCCACTGTACTGGCTTATTTGTTTTTAACATTTTTAAAAAATATAAATGGTCCTCTATAAAAGCGAGCCTTATTGAAGGTGTGATTTAATAATAATACGTAATAAACTATTGTATCAAACCACCCATTGTAGTATCGAATGATTACATTTCATTTAGCGTTCGGGAAGACGATGGTGACAACAGAAAATAATAACAGTTTTTTCGTTTCCACATCTGGTTTCACCGCGAATGGAGTTTAAAAATAGTATTTCAAATAACAAACCTAAATTAAAGTCTACAATAGATAACTACTATCTACTCAATCATCTAGAACTCACCTTCTGCATCTTTTTTCTGCGCGTTATCCACCAAATCTTCTTTAGCTAATACACCGACTTCTACAAAAAAAAAAAAAATTAATGTTTTAGTTTCAACCCAGTCTATTATTGTGGCATTCAAATATCGAGTACTTTTTCATGTATATAAAATCTACAGTCTATACTGACCTTCTGGTGCTGTCGGACTATCTTCATCTAGTCCTACAAATTATATATATATAAAATAACTTATTGCAGAACATAAAGTGACATAGTGATATGTAGAAAAATAATAACAATAAAGATATCATTTTTTACTCGATTTTGTTGTTAATATAGTTTATAGATAAAATTTTGATTCTAAGTCCTCGTCCTCCAGCGTAGTCGTCGCCGCGTCTCCAGAAGCATACTTTCGAACACTCTAGTGCACGCCAACGGTGCGATTGTCGCCCCTAGAATATTCTACGGCCAATATAAGCTTTACACCACCAGACAGCCAACATCAGTCTCACTCGAACTTTAGTCTACTACAGTACTACTTTCCCATGTTCAGTGATATTGTTTGTGTTGTTAAATAGAAGTGTGATAATAGAACATTTGGTTTGTTTATTATTATTATATTTAATTTAAATATAATATTTGTATTGGTTACTAGTGTTTACTCATTTACTTCCATGCTATACACCTAACCATATACTACTTAAAGTCTACAATAGTAAACTAGGTAATAACTACTCTATCATCGATACTAACCTCGTACATACGCTTGCTGCGTATAGTCAAATTCTTCATCACCTGATTCGACAATTTCTGCCGAAAGACATTATTAAAAAAAAACATTAGTTCTCACTCTTTGTCGAAGTTATGGCTAAGTAAAATGTATAACGTACCTTTAATTGATAGTTGTTGTTTACCACGTGAGCTTGACGCATCTTGTGGGTCTACATATAAATAAAAAAAATAGGTATCAATATGAATTCGCATACAAAATTGTATGTGAACTGAGAAAAGAACTCTCTAATATAAACGTTATAACTTAAGAAAGTTAAAAGTTAAATGTAAAAATAAACAGTGACCATAGATAATATATTCTTCTCCATCTACTTCCAGGTCTTCATTTTTGGTATCATCACTCAATAGGGGGACCAAAATTACTTCTTACATACTTAACTAGATCAATGCAAATGCATTACTAATCAAATAAAAGTAACTTCACATTGAGAACTTCCCAATTGAAGGAGCTGAAACAAAGTAAAAAGTGATGGAAAACATACCTGGTGTTATAGTTCCCTCGCAAGTCCCACAAGCTAAAAACAATTACAAATTATCTTAGGTGTGTTAAAATAATTTTCAGATTTTATAATATAAATAAGTCCAATTTCTGTCAAAATCCATTATTTTAAAGAACATTAATCCTCACTCCTCATCGAAGCTAAGGCTAAGTAAAATGTATAACGTGCCTTTAATTGATAGTTGTTACTTACTTTGTGAGCTTGACGCACCTTGTGGGTCTACATATAAATAAAAAAATAGGTATCAATATGAAGTCATTATCGCATACGCAATTGTGTGTGAATCGAGAAAAGAACTCTATAATACATTCAAGTTAACTTTTGTCAATACATTTTGTCATTTATATAGCTACCATAAAGTTTTGACATTAAAATAATATAAATTTTTCCAATGCTACAGTCCTGGCTCATCCAAACACTTCAGCACCTTTAGCCCTTTTCGTCAATGCTAGCCAGTACGCAATTAGTGCGGCTCTCCAACAGCAATTTCAGCAACCAAGGGAGCCTTTAGCTTTCTTTTCCAACAAGTTTAACCCTTCTCAAAAGAAATGGAGTACTTATGACCAAAAACTGTATGCCATCTATGACGCTATTGTTTCCAACCTATGCTTGAAGTCAATCATTTTATTGTATTTACGGATCATAAGCCTACGTTTGCTTTTTCTTAAAAAAATGACAAATGTTTCCAGCGACAATTTCGCCATTTAGACTTTATTTCTCAATTTACAACAGACATAAGACACGTTTTCGGGAAAGAAAATGTAGTCGCTGGCTCACTGTCACACATTGGATAAGTTTCAACACCAGTTAACTTCACAGCTCTGACACGTAGTCAAGAAGCCGATCCGGAACTTCAAAACCAAACTAGTTATCACCCAAAAATCAAACGATCGTGTTGAACGTTGGCACCGCTCTCTTAAAGACGAGTGAGCTGATCTTCAATCTTCAGTAGCAGAGGTAGTGTACGGAGAGACATTACGAGTTCCTGGTGAGTTTTTATCTCCACTGACAATCTCTCCTGAATTTTCAGACTTTGTGGCAAATCTCAAAATCGTGATTTCCAAACTCTGTCCCGTTCCAACATCACTTCACCCAAAAAACCGCATTTTCGTCCATCAAGATCTAGCATCATGTACTCATGTCATGCTACGCTCCGATTTGGTTCGAACTTCTCTGCAGCCACCTTACACAGTCCTCATCCAATTCTAACCCGCCGTGACAAGACTTTTGATATTTTAGTTAAGAACAAGAAGGCGACCGTATCCATTGACCACCTTTAAGCGGCTTACTTCATGACAAGCCCATCCAATTCAACTAAACGCATCCCAGCGAATCCAGCTAAAGAAGAACTTCCTAGCTCGTCTATTGACGATGCCACTTCCACGAATAGACACTAGGTAACAACTCGCTCAGGTCGTCGTGTCCGTTTTACCAAATTCTTTCAAGCATAGCAACTCACTTCCCAGAGGAGTGATGTGGTGATATCATTTTTTTCATGATTTTATAGTTGTTAAGAGGGTTTATCTATTTTCAAATAATATTAGCAACATTTGATTTCTTTGCCGGTGGTTTGAACTTATAAGTATTAGAAAATATTTTGACAAAAACACGGGAGAATAATAACAATAAGAACTTACAAAAAGGTATTTAAAATATAACAATTTTTAAAGTATATTATATTAATTAAAGTCTACAATAGATAACGACTAACTACTCTATCATCTAGACTGACCTTGTACACTCTTTTGCGGCGGATTATCCAATTCTTTCTTAGCTAATCTACCAATGTCTAAAAATAAAAATATTAGTGTTTTCTAAATTTAAATTGGCATAAAAGTATGTAGAAAAATAATAATTAGATAGTTTTATATAGAAAACATTTAGTGAAGCTTTAACATATTATACTGTACATATTACATATTATATACAGTAAATATATAAATCTATATTGAAATTGTTTAGACTTATCTGGCCTAGTTCTAGATAACTACTAACTAATAACTACTTTATCATCAAGACTGACCTCGTACATTCCTTTGACTCGAGAAATACGATTCTCTAGCTAATTCAATGATTTCTATAAATTAAAAAATTAATATTTTATTTTCAACGCAGTCTAATTTTCTGGCATTCGAATAACGAGTACTTTTTTATTTATATAAAATCTACAGGCTATACTTACCTCTACGTAGTGCAGCGATTCCTAAAAATAAAAATATTAATGTTTGCTAAATTTGAATTGGCATAAATAAATGTAAAAAATAATAATTAAATATAAATCATTTAGTGAAGCTTTTACATAAATAAATATATAAATCTATATTGAATTTTTTTAGACTTATCTGGCCTAGGTCTTTGTGCTTTATTAAAATCTATGATCATAACTTTAAAACAATGTTCCTGTTTTTGTAATTTCTAAATATAATATTACATTTTATAACGTGCCTTTAATTGATGTTGTTGAAATAAATGGCAGTTGTTACTTACTTTCTGAGCTTGACGCACCTTGTGGGTAAAATAAAAATAATTATAAGTTAATTATAAATTTAAAAAATAGGTATCAATATGAATTCATTGTTGTATAAGCAATTGTATGTGAATCAAAAAAAGAAGTCTATAATAAATTTAAGATAACTTTTATCAATACATTTTGTCATTTTTATAGCTAACTTAAACTTATGATATAAAAAATATATAAAAGTTATAACTTAAATTTGTATAGAGTTTTAGATAGATTTTTAGCGCCTCTGATTTGTTTCCTGGTTGTTTGAACTTAAAAGTGTTACAAAAAGGTTCGGCGAAATACACGAGAAAAAAAAAGGGGGAAATGATAAGTATAAGAGCTGATTGTAATGGTATGAACAATTTTAATTTTTTAAATATAATAATTTAATGCTTTCATTAGGTAATTGTAATGTCTATATTATGTACTGACCTTCTGCGTCCTTATCCTTACTGCCCTCACCTAATTCTATAAATTACACATATCAGATTAATGTTTGCTAACTTGAAGTTGTCATAAAAATATTTTGAAAAAAAAAAACAATTAAATGGGTTTAAACATGAATCTCAAGTTACCTCTTATCTGTAACGGGTACACTTGACACCCCGTTACCACTCACCCTAAAACATGCTTACTGAGCATTTGTCAATATGACAATGGGTAGGAAAGACAGCGAACACACAGGACAATGGCCTTCGCGCCGACCCCGACAATCAGTTGAGACCTGACCATCACTTAGCCCTCATATAACTTATATAGTTTTATCACACTTTGACGCCGTTTACTCTTATCCCGCATCGTGCGTGTTCGCTCAACTCCGCTTTTCCAGGAGACACGGGTTAGCTTCTAGTTCTCGATCCAAGATCCGCTGATTTAATCCTATCGGCCACCGTTCAGTCTAGTTTAGCCAACTAGGCGAGCAGGCTTGTTACAATTTGGTGGAGGCGCCGCTCTCAGTAAGTTTATTTTGCCCTAGGAAAGACCCGGGTAATCTTTTTGCTTTAGGGAATAAATTACGGATACGACCCCATAATTGTGCCTTTTAATCGATCTAACTCTCAGGTTGTAATTTTATTTTAAATTCTAATTGCATTGAACCTCGATATTAATTTAAGTTAAATAATAAATAATTAGTACTCTATATAGCGACATATTATATATTAAATTACAAATCACGAAATTCGATAAAGGTTTTTTTGTAGTATATGCTACATACTTTATTAATTGTTTACTGTTATGTATGTGTTAACATATGATGCAGTATAATTACTATATTAAAAGGGTAAGAAAATAATCAAACTTTTCGAATAACCAAAAGGGTATGGACAATATTAGGTTTTGATAGGGCAGTAGATCTAGACGATTTATCATCATCAGACTTAATAAAATACTCTAAAGAAGCAAGTCATATCAATACGCTAGAAGCATTTAATCAGTGTGATAACATAAAGGTACCAAAGGTACATAGGCTTATACATAAATACAGAAAATTTCATATACTTAGGGCTGTTAGTAAAAAGCAGTATACACTATCACAATTTAAGGGAAAATCAAAAGCCGATAAAATAACTGTATTACAGCAAGACCCCAAGGGGCGCTGCTACAAATGTTGTACAAAAAACGACCTCTATAGTATAACTGCGAACAACAGTAATCCAACTGACAATAACGTAGAAAAACCAGGTATCTAATCAAAAAATTAGTATCGAACAGCCCATCATAAAAAATACACAAAATACAATAAACATACCACTAGGCGTAGACGAATCCTTAAATATTAACGCCCCTCTGATTAATCATTTTAGTGTTACGACAGTTAATATAATGAACATGCCACAAACCTTTTCGGGTAGGATTACTGACGACGTATAGGATTACTTTAAAACCTCCGATAGAATAGCGGACTCAAACAAATGGAATGAAGGGTCTAAAGTAGTAATACTCCCACTTTAAGGAGTAGTTAAGTTAAGCTGAGAATTAATTAAAACATCTTTTCTGGAGTTTTATAATTATAAAGATAAATTGGAAATATTAATGGGGAAACTAATGAATAGGAGAGAACAAGTAAGCGAATCGGTGCAGGAATTCGTCCTGAACGTTACTGTGGAATGTCGCAGGGTGGATAAGGACATGGAAGAGAGTAGGATTATTGACCAAATATTAAAGGGGTTAAATGAGGATGCTTATTGGAATGTAATAAATATAGATAATTTAACCTTAGAGGCTTTAAAAAATAATATAAAGAAGTATGCAGAACATGTATCGATACGCAAAAAAAATGCTAATCCAGATGCGCAAACCCTAAAGTTACAGGTAGAAGCTCTAACGGCTAACCAGACAAATTGAAATAGGTGGGCAGCCTGGGTACTCTAACTTAAGGAATACTACAAGTAGTGAGTTACAATTATTAAAAGATCAGATTGAAAAACTTAAAATTAATGGTAATAATAATCCTAGAAGGAATTTCAATAACAATTTAAGGAAAGATTATAGGCATAACAATAATTATAATGGTCTAACCTTAAAAATAAAAAAATAAATAATTTTTCTAGCGGTGCTACTTATAGCAATGGTAACAATAATTACAAAGGTCGTAATAATAATTATAATGGTAAAAATAGTAATAATTGTAGTGGTAATATAAATTACAGTGGTAACAATAATAATAGTGGTAATAATTATAACAACAGAGGTAACAGTTACAATGATAGGAGACCCAATAACAACGGTCCCCAGTTTAATAGAAATGGTAATAATTATAATAACCAGGATAGGCAGAATAATAGGGGTGGTAACGGTGGCAAAGTTAGGGGACCAAATTTAAATGGCTACAATGGACAAATAAATAATAGTAGACCAAGGCAGGGAGATAATAACTATAACAATAAGTTTAGTGGGCCACCCAATGCAAAAAACTAGGAGGTCAAAACACCAAAGTTAGGTTGAGTTTTGACCATAGGTTCAAAATGAAAAACCCTAACTTTAATGTAAAAAAGACACAAATAGTCACCCCCCCTCCCCAGCCCGAGTAAAATGTATAACGTACCTTTAATTGATAGTTGTTACTTACCATGTGAGCTTGACGCACCTTGTTGGTCTACATATAAATAACAAAATTGGGTATCAATATAAATTCTTAGTCACACACAAAATTGTGGGTGAATTGCGAAAAAAAGTCTTATATTAAATTTAAGATAATTTTTATCAATACATTTTGTCATTTATATAGCTACCCTAAAGTTATGACATTAAAAATATAAAAATGTTATAACTTAAAATTGTATAGAATTTTAGATAGATTATTAGCGCCTCTGATTTGTTTCCTGGTTGTTTGAACTTAAAAGTGTTACAAAAAGGTTCGGAGAAATACACGAGAAAAAAAGGGGAAATGATAAGTATAAGAACTGTTTGTAATGGTATGAACAATTTTAATTTTTTAAATATAATAATTTAATGCCTTCATTAGGTAATTGTATTGTCTATTTTATGTACTGACCTTCTGCTTCCTTATCCTTACTACCCTCACCTAATCACCAAAAAAAAAAAAAACAATTAAATGGGTTTAAACATGAATCTTGTTTTATACGTTTGAAAGTACTTCAGTGTAGTATTTACATATAAAAATTATATGTTATGTAAAATATAACATAAAACTGGTTGCTAATTTTAAAGTTACAATATAAATTATATACACGTATAAAGAAGATGCTTTTTCAGTTTCTATAATCATATCTTCGCTGAAATTATTTATAAATCTAATGTTCAAAAAGTGCTCTCTAACCTAAAAGATGAAACAACTGCAGGTTTTGATGGAATTTCGGTTAAAATCATTAAACATGTAGCTAATGAAATAATAAGTCCTTTAACACATATTTTTAGTTTATATAAAGTATTAAAAACAGTATATTTCCAGAAAAATTTAAGTGGCAATAATTAAACCTCTGTTCAAAAACGGGGATAAAACATGTATAAACAACTATAGACCCATTTCTATGCTGAGTAATTTCTCAAAAATATTCTAAAAAGTTTTAAAAATTAGATTATGCACTTGATGATGAAAATAAAGTAATGGCTATATTTTTAGATTTAGCTAAGGCGTTCGACACAATAAATCACTCAGTACTTTTAAATATTTTGCCTGAATTTGGTATTATTTCATCAAGTTTAGATTAGTTTAAGAGTTATTTGGAAAACAGAAGGCAAATAGTACAAATAAATAGCTTTATCGGTAATGAAATGGTAATAAACTGTGGAGTACCACAAGGTAGTGTACTGGGTCCCATTTTATTTATCTTGTACATAAACAGTGTCTGTAATTTAAAAATTGAAAGACTTATTACTACCTATGCTGATGATACGTGCATACTTTTCTCAAGAAATTCATGGGTTGATGTACGTATTAAAGCTACTAAAGGTTTTAAAAGAGTAGTCAATTTTCTAACTATGGTTTAGAAAACTATCGATAAATTATAATAAAACTATATTTATGAATTTAATGTTTAATGATAGATAAGATAATTTCGATACATTAAAAATTCATGTCTGCGATAATAATAACTCATGCAATGATATAAAATGCAAAACGTTAATAACAGTCTCTAGTATTCGTTATTTGGGTCTAATTTTTGACAGGAATTGTAAGATGGAATCTGCATGTAAACAATTTAGTAATGCGTCTACGTACTATAAGTTATAATTTTTACAAATAAGGAGTTTGCACATTGCAAGTAGTTCAAACAGTATATTTAGCATTATATCAAGCATTAATACAATATGGTCTACTTATATTTGGGGAGGCGTTTCTGCTAATGCCCTGAAACCTTTATTAATCAAACCGAGACAAATTGTTCGAATATGTTTACAGGAACCTACTATTGAAGGTTCAATAAGTCAAAACTTTAAATTATTTAAGTATTACCTGTGGATTTACTATTAAAAAAAACTTCCATTTTATCGGTAGGTAAAAATATAGACAATTGGAGAAATATAAATAATGAAAAAAAAAAGGGAACATTTAGCATGGGATGTTAAGTGTTGTATTTTAAAAAAGCATTTGGTGAAAAATTCATGACATCATTCAATAACAGTGTAGTTACCAAAACTAGACAAAATATTAGTTTATGAAAATTATTTATGTTTCGAGATAAAAAAAAGCTGTACTGAAAATACTATTAAATGTGTAAAACAAAAATAAAGATACTTAATATTTTGTTTTCTTACTGTTACATGATGACCACGTCAACAATATATGATAATATACAGGGTGTCATGGAAAGTTCTACCGAGCTTTAAATTAGACATTTAGGATGCTCTACGGGTACAATAAATTGTATTCATTTTTTTTAATTTTAAAATTATTTAAAATAGAACTTGTATCTCATTATAAAATAGTCTAACAAAAAAATTATTTGCAGATTTGAAATCAGGAGAAAAAATCTTGTTGAATTGATATGTAACATGATTTTTTGGTATCTGGCCACACATGCGTCCACAGGTTGGCCACTGAGTGGCCGGCATGTAATCAAAATCAGCATATGGCATGCGACACATCATTTTGAGTTAGAATTTTATTCTCAATTCAGTGGTGTCCTTAGAATTATTTTATATTGAATGATATGTCGCATGCCACATGTTGGTTTTAGTCACATGCCGGCCACTCAGTAGCCACTCAGTGGCCATACTGTGGTCGCATGTGTGGCCAGATACCAAAAAATCATGTTGCATATTAATTCAACAATATTTTTCGTTCAATATTCTCGTGATTTCAAACCTGAAATTAATTTTTTTCGTAAGACCATTTTTTTAATGATATACAAGTTCTATTTTAAATCATTTTAAAATTTTAAAAAATGAACACCATTTATTGTACCCATAGAGCATCCTAAATGTCTCATTTAAAGCTCGGTAGAACTTTCCATGACACCCTATATAAATTTATTTTGTTCGTGTATAAGTATGCAAACTCTTCCTAAACGGCTGGACAGATATTTATGAAATTTTGTGTGCGCGATTGAGTTGATTCGAGAAAAGTTTAGATTTACAATTTGATCCGATAGTACATGTTTTTAACTTTTAATTAATTAAAATAATTAATTATGACTATCAACGTTATCAATAGTTGTCTATACATCTCTATGGTTTTTCATACCACAGGGATACAATGATCCGATCAGCTGATTGTGTGTCTATTCTAATACACGGACAACGCCGGGTCGGGACAGCTTGTTAAAATATTTTTCTTCACTTATATTCTTAACGATAACATTATTTAACAATTCCGTCTGAATACATCGAATAAAGAAATGTATACGGCAATTATAGTAATACAATATATAACGTGTCGTTAATATTGTTACTAGTTGTTACTTACCTGGATATGGCAGACCTCGTGTGACTAAATCAACATAACAATAGAAGGTGTTAGTATAAAATTCATACCTGCATGCAATAGTATGTAAGGAAAATATGTAAAGATAATTTACTAATTTATGCAATCAACATCAATCAATAAAATATGCTGTTTAATTTAAATGACTCAAAATTATAACTACAATAAGTTATTAATTTCGTATAGTCATCCAGAGAATAAAAACACAAATTACCCAACGAGACTTCCAAGATAATGAGAGCTATAAAAAAAATAACCAGTTTCTGCATAATGTATTAATGAACTTTTCTAATGTAGAAACACTGTCGGATAAGGAACCTAAAGTTGTACAAGCAAACTTGAAATGAAAAATTGACAAATTTTTTTTGTGCTTAGTAGCGAGTGTTCTTCAGTTAATACAAGTATCGGTATATGAAAGTATGACGCAAACGATTTTCCTTTGATGGTAAAACATTTGTGCAAACTAACGGTTGATCGTGGATTTTCTTGTAGCCACGCAGTTGACTGTGACCTAGATATTTTACTGCAGTCTTATTCAATTTTAAAGTATAACAACGAAATTTTGTAAATCAGTAACCATTACATTATACTGTTTAAAAAAACTTAAAACCATTAGTACTCTAAATTAATAATTTCGTATAGATGGTGTTAGATTACACTATGTTTTGACAAGTTGTGTTGCTCTGACTAAATAGAATTTTTTCCAATTTTTGTCTTAAGTGATCGTGAACATCAATTGTAGCCACGCGGTTGACTATGAGTTCGAAATTTAACTGCATTCCTTTATAATTTTGTAGTGGTAAAACTAAATGTTGTACCGAGAACGTGTATCCACACATCTGAATTTACCACTCTTTCAGTCACCTTTTGTCTCCCCGCTTAAATAATATATGACTTGAAAAGCGGTTCTTCCGTAGCAAGCCACATCTTTCTCTACTACAAACTGTATTCAAACGAAACGGTGATAATAAAATTGGGCAAAAGTTATTATCTAGTTTGAAAACTTGTACAACTAGTAAAAAACAAGGCATTTTAGATTTGTCACACATAAATTTAAAAAACAGAAAATAATTATTTAAATTTCAAAAATATTTTTAATTTTTCACGTTTTTCAAATGGTCAAATAAATTAAAAATTTGAGTATACTATACTCTTTATATATTTTTATGACTGATATTGAAACACACTTACAGTGTACAGATCTCGGGTTTAGTGGTAAACAATATTTTAGAGGCCTTAAAGGTTTGGTTTTAATCAAACGTAACACCTACAACTTCTCCTCAAGCTCATGTCTTCGCATCTTTTATTTCAGTTTAGTACGTTCCATTATCAAATATCCATACCTCGTGCAAGACCAGATACGCATCGAAGGAGTCCAAAACAGATTTATAGCCTTTGCTGTTTTGTTTTAAAAATAGAACATCCTCAACCGGACTGCTCCCTTATCCGCTCAGCTCTTAATATAGCGATAATATTATGATGTTATTATATTGTCGAAACACACTATTTAAAAACGCACATACAAAAATGTGTTAAACTGGCGTTAGAGTTCATAGGAAAACGTTTTATTAAAATTCATATAAACGCTTGTTGACGATGAATCATCGTTTTCTAAAAATGGGCTAAAAATGTTGACTGATTGATAACCAGTTTTGGACAACTATAATTAATGTTATAAGAGTTTAAAAGTTAGGATGGGCAGTGTGGTTGGGAAATGCGCGCAGATCAAAATAATGCTACGCCCCACCTATCCTCCTGCCCTAAACTTGAAACTTCAATGACTTCAATGATTATAAACAGCGGTCGAGAGAGCACATTTTAGCGAGTGTTAGTCAGACCACGTACAAACAGTTTTATTAAAGTATGACTCAAACGGCAATGTTAATTGTACGAAAACAAAACGATAGATGTTTCTGAAACACCTGCAAAACGGAGCAAAAATGTAGTTGGCAATAAACAATTTTGGTTAACGTTCAAAATTGGAGTTCTTTAATACTCCAAAAATTCCAAATATTTTTCGAAAAGAATTAGTCGAAACATCTAGTTTATTATTATATTGAGCATCAGGTCAGACATAATCATTGCTGTCTTAATTGACTTGCCGAAAGAGTCTTGTTGAAACTATGTTTATCGTTTATTCTCAATGTTTTGACGTGTATGATTCTTAACCTAGTAGACAAAAATTATAATTCACATTAAGTACATTATTTAGCAAGTGTTATTCTGACTATGTTTAAACTATGTTTTATTAAAGAGTGACACAAATGCCTATGTTAACTGTAAAATAACAAAACGATACAGATTTCTAATAAAAATAAACTCTAATGTTAAATAGAACATGGTAATTAATAATCAATAATTTTGATTTTATTTCGGTTTTAAAACTTTTGTTATAGTAATCATATTATAAAATTGCTATTTTACAAAGCGTTGGACTTAAATTACCCGTTTAGTGAAAACCAAATTCCATTACTAAACAGGTGTGCACTAATCAGATTTTCGATAACTCAAACAAGTACTTTGGTATATAAGCCAGAGGTATCGCCATACACGGTGATTCAAAGACAAAATGCGAATTAAACAAATGTTAGCCAAAACCTAAGTATATTATGAAAATAAATAATCGTGAATCTATGTACGTAGTACCGCCAGTTTCTTTTGGTTAATAAACATAAAAACCTAATATATTTTAAAAAAAAACTACACATCCACGAAAATATTTTAACTAATATTATATTTATGTTTTGCAATACACAAAGTTTATATATTGTTAAAATCAAAAAATGTGGTCTGAACAAATATAAATTAAACAATGGTTTCTTTAAAGTAACGCCAAAACAACACAAACGTTTATTGTAAACAGCCCAATCGCTAAATTATTTCAAAAACGAACAAATTATTATACGATTAAATCCATGTTTCGTCAGTAGCAATATTTCATTAGCTCAAAAAGCATCAAGTAAAGTAAAAAAGACCGTTTTTGTCAGAGTAATTGAATTCGACACAGAACTATGAAGCACTACTCCTCAATACTCAAAAAAATGTTTGTGCTGTTCATTTGCCATTCTGTACAACTAATGGAAACCGGATATTCCAGCAATGATCAAGTGGAAAATTATAGCCTCTCAGATGATTTAAAATGCACATTCCTGTTCGTTGGGTTGAAACACATGCTTCTAACTCAGGTTTTAATTCGCCCTCATTATAATACGCCAACATCATTGAAGGCCAGTGACGAAAGTTATTATAAAAATACAATTGGACACCAAATAACTTCTTTGTACAGTTTAGGAATACGGAATATGGGATCCCTGTGGCTACTACTTTTGTATACGAATTTAGTAATTGGTTTCGCTAAACGTTCAAAAGATATACCGGCAGACTATCAGAAACTTGAAGCTACACACAAGTATGTTATCAATAAAGTGCTTAAGGACCAAGACGGATGCCGCGAAGGTAATTCTTTTGATAGATTCGATGATGTGATTCACTCAAAACCTTTTCCGACAAAAGATGAAATGATATATATGGTGCACATAAACGATAACAAGGCCAGAGAACTGCTGAGCAGAAACAATACATTTGAGGATTTTAATAATAGAATGTTTGTAGACAAGTTAAAAATGAAATATATTTTTTTGAACAATTATGTTTTTATGTCTGTATTCAACGTGCAAGTGACCTGGCCAGAGCTAACTATTGTACGATTGGAAAAATCTTATCGTGATGCGCGTACACTGGATTGGGCCTCCGACAACCTTCAAAATCTGAAATCATACTATGAGCTGATCTTTTCATTTCTAAAAGTTATCATGTTGCGGCTGACGTTAATACACCTGAAATATCTACAACACTATTCAGAAGGTTTGAAAGACTACGTGTATTGCGTGCGTCAGTGGTACAAAGAGGTAAAACAATTTGGTAAATGTTTAAGCTTGACCAATGACCTACATGTAATAGACTTGCTATCTGCCATCCATTATCTCTCTACTGGAAAAGAGACAATAGGCAGCGTGGCTGGGTATGTACATTCAACACTAGTATCTCTTTGTCTACCTCTCGGGTGCGAGGCCGACGAACCACTCAATAAAGGATCACGCAATAATAAACCAGCCGAAAAAGGATCTGAGACATCTGTACCGGTCGAGTATCACAGTTTGAAAAACTCTAAGAGGTTTTTTTCTCAACTTGATAAGGCGTTTAAAAATGTCGACTTTAGCCTCATTCAGTTACTCATAGAATATATTGACGAAATCCAATCGGAAAATGATATGACTGGTATTCTAACAGTGCCATAATAACGCAAATTAGTAATAATTATAAAACTAAAACTGTAATATTATTATTATATTAACACACTTGTAAATCATGCTATTGCTGCAAATTTAAATAAAATAAATAATCACATTAAAATTGTATTATTATTTTTTTGAACTTTTTAGCTTCGATGCAATGCGAGAAGGTATCGGTTTTACTCTGATGTGGGCTTTTTTTTTCGCTGTATACACTGTAACTTTTTTAATACTTGACCAATTCCTTCGAATAGCAACTCTATAAATCACAAATTTTGTCTAGTTTGTACTTTGGGGGAGTAAAAGTTGAAAAAGTTTAATTCTTTACAGACGAAAGTTGAAAAAACAAAAAAAAAACCGTACGAGTTTTTAAGTTAGAACTTTTAATGGCTATAATTTCGAGAAAAAGAGTCGGATCGAGTTGAAATGTATAAGAAATAATTATTTGGTATGTCCGCACACGTCAGTTGTGTCAAACTTAAACTATACCTATTTCCCACCCCCCTAGGGGGGGTACAAGTTTTTTTGTTTTTCGGGGTTTTTAGCGGTAATTTTAAAACTTTTGGGTTGAAAATTTGCCAGTAGTTGGAACTCATATGTACCCATAACATATTAAACGGGAAAAAAATTCGGCACTACAGTTTTTTTTTTAATTGCCGGGAAACTGTGTTTTCGCAAATTTCGTATATTTTAACAAAAACACCTAAAATCTTTAAAAAAAATTGATCAAATCATTAAAACAATTTTATGTATATCTATGCAGAATGATACTATTAGGTTTTGTGCTCAAGTACCACTTTTTACTTAAAGTTTACACAAATTCAATTTTTTTTATAACTTTTATTTATAATAAATCTTGTAGACCTGTGACCTCTCCGTTTCCTCATTGCTTTGATTACATTATGCCAATACTCTACTGTACTAGTCCTCTTGGATAAAATCGCTTTCAAATAAACGCTTTGATGCTCATTTGTAAATACAGAACCTTCATTTAAGACTTTCTAACTTTGCTGGTTTATACTGTGCTTGGTTTGGACTGTACTGGCTTGAAAATACTAACTACCGATTTGCATCGAGGCGTTTTTTCGAAAGTGATTTTATCACTTTCAGATTTAAAAATTCCTGTAAACCTGTGACCTCCCCGTCCCCAATATGCCTCGACCCAACTATGTTCCGTCCCCACTATGCACCGACCCCACTGTACTGGTTTTTTTAAACACTATTTTGACAAGCCTGAGTCTCTTTTAATTTAAAGAAAATAACAACAATATAACATAATAATATACTCATTTTAGTTAAAATGAAATTATGGCTCCCTTGCAATAATCGGTTCATAAAAAAAAAAAATTTTAATAAAATATCAACTCTATTTATCCATCACAACACATTAAACGTTAAACAAAATAGTCTCTGAACAAATAGGCAATCATCAGTGGCGCAAAACCAGGGAAGCAGAGGAAACTTGCCCCTTATGTTTTGTAGGTAGTATGGGTAACTATGGCAAAAAATAATGTAGTTAGACGGTCAACCATAACCGTATAGAACCTCATAAAAAATATACAATTTTAAGCACATTGTTGACAATTATTATATTTTATACAATATATATATATATAGATAGGCATCAGAGTTTTAATTTGAAAGTGATTCTATCTTTACATATCTAACGATTGTAATGGTTATAATCAGTTTTTAATTTGTATTCAACTAACATTTTTAACTCTAATTATAATATCTGTATTGTTCATATAGCCTTTCATATCGTTTGATAATTCAGACAAAGTACAAATAACTGTTGGCACCGCGCATTTTATTGGTTTTTACATTTAAAAAGCAATTGTATAATACAAAACCCGTTTTTTTTTTTACTGTTCTTTTTTTTTTTATGGAAAACAAGATGTTTTATGGCCATATATTCTTTTATTATTTGTGTTTTGAACGTTTGAATTTGCTCGCTCTATAATATAGCAAATACAAATTTTTCGCTAAAAAAAATAGTCGTTTTCGATGAACAACATCTGTAAAAAAGGGAAATATGTTAGAACATAAAAGTTTATGACTCATAAAAGTGTGTGTAACTGTTAACGCTGCAAATGTCAATATAGGACACTTGTTTTCGATCAAAAAAACCATAATAAATCTACACGAAATATGTGGAAAAAATATTAATTTTTTTACACTGTGTGTGCTGAAATATTATTTAGTGCTAGCATTTTATAAAATATGAAACTATGATGAATACAGCGGGTACTTAATTTACTCAAGCGTGTTTTTAAAAAAAATTGTTATTTTGTAATAATGCAAAACTATACGACCTTAGAACCAATACCTATATACATATAGTCTGTAGATAATAAATGTATTGCTACTGTTAAAACTTGAAACAACCAAAAATATTATTCATTACAGAAAATGATGACGTAAAACAATCTATTGGTAAAAAAAAAACTCAGTGAAAATCAGGGTTATTTCACTTACATTAAAACAATTGGTATAGCCATGATTTTTTATATTTAAATACAGTGCAAATGTACATTTTTTTATTATTAAAACTAACTGATTAGTCTTGCCCTAAAACAAAATTTTGGCTAAAATATTTTGTTTTTATTTCAGTAAAATCAACCCGAGTGTCACTGTATTTCTATTTTTCCAACAGATTGCTTAACATCATCATCCACTAGCGTTTTGGTTTTTCTTTGAGAAACATAGTTTCAGTATAATTTCTACAAATAATGTTGTCAATAGCAATTTCGCTGAGTGTAAGATCTTTACACTGTGAGACTTTAATCCACATGTTTAAACTACATCTGAAAAGTACAATATAGTATAGGTTATCAGCTGATATGAGTAATGTTATCACTTCATTATTATCACAATTAAGCATAGACCTCTAAAGAAATGGACTGACAGTAGAGAGAGATGTCCGAATATCGACATCGTTAAAAAGAGACGGAGAGAGTTGTTAGGTATGGTATGGAAGAAATAATGTCATTGAGAAATAGTTATATGAAACGAAATTTTTATATATTTTTTTTATTTTTATTTTAAATAACATTTACAATCTGTACATACAAAATATACAATCAGAAAATACGCTAACAATGTAATAAATGACTTGTAGACTATGAGTAGGGAAGCTATCCAGTGATAGGACCCTATGACAGGTTTCGGCTAGAAATTAAACGGTAGCATTACAATTTAGGAGGTCTCGACACCAACGTCTTTTAAGACGACGAGGGGGGTTGTCCGGGATAGCAGCTGTGTGGATTCGAGTGGAGGAGTAATCTAGAGTGGAATTTTTCATAATGAGTCTTAACTAAATTTTCAACTGATTCGATGTGTAAGTCATTGTGAAGGGTGAGGTTGGAAACATACCATGGAGCCGAGGGAAATCGATTGACAACCTACTATTCTTTTTAGTTGGGATGGTTTGGCACAACCCCATATTTGAGCTCCGTATGACCGAATTGGTCTTAACATTGACTTAAAAACAAGAATTTTGTTATGAAGCGTGAGTTTGGATTTCAGTATAGGACGTAGTAAGTGCGAACGAGTATTTAGAGACTTCCTTTTTGATTTTAGGTGGGGGCCCCAGGTTAGTCTTTTATCTAAAATAATACCTAGATATTTGACTTGAGACAAGGAGGAGATAGGAACTTCTCGGAGGGTGAGAATAGGCGTATTTTTTTTGTCGAGTGTAAAAGAAACATGTACAGATTTTTCTGCATTAATTTTAATTTTCCAGTTTGAGGACCATTTTCCAATTTGATCGAGATGTTGTTGAAGAGCATTAAATGCTTCGGGGGGTCTCTATTGGAGGATAGAATAGCTGTGTCATCGGCGTAGGTGGCTAGAATAGTGTTTTGGGTGTGAGGGATGTCTGAAGTGAAAATGTTGTAGAGGTCAGGAGAAAGATCACTTCCCTGAGGAAATCCTGCTAATATAGGAAAGAGGGAGGAAAAGGCAATACTATGACGAACTTTAAATGTACGATTTTCAAGGTATGATCGAATTAGTAAATAAAGAGGAACAGGGAGGAATAATTTGATTTTATACAACAATCCGGTGTGCCAAACTCTGTCAAAGGCTTGTGCTACATCCAGGAAGACACCCGGACAATACTTTTTGTTCTCAAAAGAAGAAGAAATTACATCGACTAGCCTGTGCACATGTTGTATGGTCGAATGTTTTGCACGAAATCCAAATTGTGCATTGGGTATTACATTTTATGGTTTCCATAATTGGTCTTAATTTTTTCAGGACGATTTTTTCGAATAGTTTTCCGAGCACTGGGAATAGACTAATGGGTCTATATGAGGTTGCAAGATTGGGGGGATTTCCTGGTTTGAGTATGAGAATGATTATGGATAATTTCCATACGGCGGGGAAATAAGACAATCTCAACATTGAGTTGAAAATAAAAGTTAGGAGGACAATTGTTTTTTTAGGAAGATGTTTTAGAATCTTATTCGTTATCAAGTCATGACCGGGGGATTTATTAGGCTTTAATCTTTGAATCAAATTTACAATTTCATTTGGGGAAACATGTTTAGTAGAAAGAGACATAGGTAATGGAGCGTCAAGGAAGTTACTTAATTCTTCTAAATGTATGGTATTTAGAATAATGTTAGGATGAGGTAAAAAATATTTGAAAGGTGTTCTCCAAACAGTTTGGCTAATTTATATATTAAACAGTTTTAATTCAGATTATTAAAATATTGAATTGTATTTGTCATCAGTTTAAATTCTCATAATGGTTTTCCAATGTATAATTGGAACTCGACGTTCGCTCTTAGGTACTCTGAGTTGGACTTTCTCATTACGTGCCCAAACCATATTTTGTTTTTTTTTTTAAGTCGACACTCGACAATTAATACCCGCCACACATTTTCTTAGTTTTCAAACTTGTTTTTTTATAATCTGCAACTCAATAATAAATAATAATTAAATATGAGTATTTAATATTTTTTTATTCCATGTGTTTTAAATTTTTATTTCATAGGAAACCTAACAAATCTATCTATCTCTTTCTAATGATGTTCATAACGCGGCAGTATAGGATGGGTGTGTAAAAGGCGCAGTCCATTTCTTTATAGGTTTATGCAGTTAAGGTACCTCTTTTTTGAAAGATATTGACATAAATTACCCGTTCGCTAAAAACAAATTTCCATTAAAAAACAGGTGGAAACAAATCAGATTTTCAATTACTCAAATACCTATGTAGTTTGGTATTACAATATAAGCCACAGTCATCACCATACACGATGATTCAAGGACAAAATGCGATTTAAGCAAATGTTAGCCAATACGTAACTATATTATGAGAATAAGCATTTGTGTATCTAATTATCGGTTAAAACCAAAATAATAAATGTTTTACTATAATTACGGTTTTAATTGATTGATTAACATAAAATCCTATTTTATTTAAAAAAAATATTGTACACGTACAAAAAAATTGTATCCAATATTATATTAATGCATTGCAGTACACAAAGTTTATCTATTGAAATAAAAAGAAATGTGGTGTGAACAAATAAAAAAAAAAATTTCTTAGTAGCGCCACAATAACACTAACGTTTATTGTAGACACTCCAATAGCTAAACACCGTTCAAAGTATACATTATCATACGATGAAAATCATGCTTCCTCAGTAGCAATACTTCTCTGCCACGAAAAGCATCAAGCAAACAAGACTTTTTTTCGACAGAACAGTTATTAAATTTTACAAAACACCATGAAGCTCAAGACATTTTTTTATTGTTTTGTGCTATTCTTTTGTCAATCGGTAAAATTAATGGATATCAGATACGAATATCGCAGCGAGGATCATATGGAAAATTATAGTGAGTCCAATTATTTAAAATGCACATATCTGTTCAGTGGGTTGAAATACATGCTGCTAACTCAGATTTTAATTAGCCCTCCATATAATACGACAACAACATTGATGGTCAGTGGCGTAAGTTATTATAAAAATACAGTTGAATACCAAATAGCTTCTTTGCATAGTTTAAGAATACAGAATATGGGATCCCTGTGGCTTGTACTTTTGTACACGGGTTTAGTAACTGATTTCGCTAAACGTTCAACCGATATTCCGGCAGACTATCAAAAACTTAAAGCAACACACAAGTATGTCATCATTAAACTACTTAAAGACCTACGCGGATGCCATAAAGATATTTCTTATGATATTTTCTATGCTATGATTCACACAAAACCTTATCCGCCAAAAAATGTGCTGGAATCTATGGTGCACACAAATTATAATGAGGCCATGGAACTGCTGACAAGAAACAATATATTAGCGGATTCATCTAATAAAGACTTTGTAAAGAGGTTAAAAATGATAAATATTTTTTTTCGAAAAGCTGATTTAATACATATAAGCAAAGCACAGGTGAGCTGGCCAAACATAACCATAGTACGATTTAACACCTCTTATAGTGACGCACATAAACTGGATTGGTCTACTGATAATAACCTTCAAAATATAAAGTCACACTATACGCTTAGCTATTCATTTCTAAAAGCCATCATGTTTAATTTGTCGTTCAAACACCTAAAATATCTACAACACTATTCAACATTTTCGAATAAATACGAGTTTACTGAATGGTACAACGAGGTCAAAAAATTTGGTGAATTTTTAAGCTTAACCAATGATGAACACGTAAAGAAATTGCTGTTTGCCATTAACAATCTCTCTAATGGAACAGAGAAAATAGATAGTGTGGTTGAGTATGTATACTCTGTACTAGTATCGCTTTGTCAGTCTCTCGGGTGTGAGGCTGACAAAACATTCAATATAGTCAGTAAAGAATCTGAGGCGTCTGGCGCAAGTTCATCGAATGCTGATACAAAAAGTTCGGAAAATACAATTACCCGTGTGCCGGTTGAGTATAACAGTTTAGAAAAGGCTAGGGTGTGGTTTCTTAAACTCTGTAGTACATTCAATAATGTCAATTTTAGCGTCATTAAATTACTCATTGAATATATTGATGAAATACAACTGGTAAACGATATGGAGGGGTTAACTTTTGACTTCTTGTAGTCTGATATTACTATAATAACATAAATTAGTAATACTATTATCATTTTTAATTAATCGAATCTATTTGTTACAATTTATGATATTAATGTATCTTTTATTATCTGTATCTACTGGAATTACCTATTGTTATCTATAATACTATATTTGATAATGGACATTTGTCCTTAAAAATTATTAGAATTAAATAGATTTATAATTAAAACAATTTTTTAATCATGTCATATTTGCAAATTTAACTACAATACATTATTATCACATTACAATTGTATAATTTGTCCATTATTTATTTTCGTTTTAGACTATTTTGACGTGACTGAGTCTCTTTTAATTTAAAGAAAATACCAACAGTAAAACATTATATACTCGTTTTGTTAAAATTAAATTATAGCCCCATTGCAATAAGAGGTTGATAAATAAAACATTTTTAATAAAATATCAACTCTGTTTATCCATCCCAACACATTAAAAGTTTCAAAAAAATGGTGTTAAGTCGCTGAACAAAAATAAAATAAGCAATACCAATACCTTTTTTTGATTTGAGGAAATGTGACCACGTCGTTTAAAGGAGATACTTAACCACGCGGAGAGTGCGTTGATAATAAATTATCAGTGGCGCAAAGCAGAGGACACTTGCCCCTTCTGTTTGGTAGGTAGTTAAGTAAGTAGGTGAGTGGATATGGTATTATTTGTGGAAAAAATAGGGAAATTTTAAATAATGCTAATTGGTTGCGACATATTAGTACTTGTAAAAAAATGTAATTAACAGAGTAAATCGAAAATATAATACATATAATATATTATATTTTATTATTATTATTATTATATTATTATTACTATTATTATTAAAAATTCAGCATATTGAAAAGCAAAGTCAAGTTGCATACGACAAGTACAATATGAGAGTTTTTATAAAAACCTTTTTTTTCTTCTCTTTAATTTGACTATGGTTTTAACCTTCACCATTATTATTATTACTTACAGCTTAGAAAAATACACATTGTGATAAACTTATTGTAAACCTCTCGATATCTCTTTGGGTTTGATTAATAATTGGTTGTTTTTTTAAACTTTCTTATTCTAAGTGATCTCAATTTTCACTATTTGTTATACTGTCCCCCCTCCCAGATTAACACACTGATGAATATAACTTTTGAATGGTTGATTAAAAATATTTGTATTTTTAACCAATTATTTTTTAAAAAACCAGGACAATGGGGTCGGGGCATAGTGGGGACGGGGAGATCACAGGTTTACAGCATTTTTAAATCTGAAAGTGATGAAATCACTTTCGAAAAAACGCTTTGATGCATATCGGTAGTTAGTATTTTCAAGCCAGTACAGTCCAAACCAAGCACAGTATAAGCCAGCAAAGTTAGAAAGTATTAAGTTGAGGTGCTGTATTTACAAATAAGCATCAAAGCGTTGATTTAAAAGTGATTTTAACCGAGAGGACTAGTACAGTAGAGTATTGGCATAATGGAATCAAAGCATCGAGGGGACGGAGAGGTCTCAGGTCTACAGTAATTATTAAAAATAAAAATTTTAAAATTGAATAAAATCACTTTCAAATAAACGCTTTGATCTAGTCATTAAATAAAGTATTATCATTCATGACTTTTGATTATTATTAAAATATATCTTAATTTGAACATAGTAATAAAATAATAAAATATTTTTTATAAGAAATCAGAGCTACAAGATGATAAACTAAAAAATTAAAATTAGCACGAAAACATCATGGATGTTTGCAAATATTATAATATTTAAGTACTTTTCTGTAAAACATTTTTTTACATAGGGTTACTATCTACTATATTTTTTTTTACCGTTGGTGTTAACACCTTTTGTCGTCTAACCTTGGCTTAAACAAATATACGCAAAACACGTGTGATATGCTACCGTAGTTTGACATTGGCATCTCGATGTAACCAAAAAAAAAAAAAACAGCCATAGAATGCAAAAAAAAATTCAATAGTGTTTTGGACAAATTAGTCAAAAATAAAAATTAAAGCCAGTAAATGTTGAAACTTTAATTTCAAATCGATTCGACTCAATGCCAAGTAGTTACATTTTGTGATTTATAGAGTTGTCACTCAAAAGAATTGGTCCAGTATTAAAAAAGTGACAATGTATACAGACACAAAAAAAAGCTCACATCATTGCAAAAACCAATAGCATCGCTGCTCCACATCGAAATTATTAAATAGATCTATTTATTTTAAAAACGCTCATTACTTTGTATTCTATTCCATATTAAAATATTTATTATTGCGGCGACACCAAAAGTTCGTGGTAAATTTTCAATAAATCAGTGGTTTCATTTTAGGCCAATGCGAGTTATAAATTATTTCAACTAATTGTTAAAAAAGTTTTTGTATATTTTCGCAAATCGGCGCACGTGATTTAAAAGTGACACCGTGTTCAAAAGTAAACGAATATTTAAAGATATGATTTGAAGTGTTGTTTATCGAATTCTCGCCTAAGCGTTTATGCTGATTTGAGTATAGTTATCACTTCATTATTATCACAGTTAAGCGTAGACCTCTAAAGAAATGGACTGATAGTAGAGAGAGATGTCCGAATACGGACATCGTTAAAAAGAGACAGACAGAGTTGTTAGGTATGGTATGGAAGAAATAATATCATTGAGAAATAGTTATATGATAACGAAATTTTTTATTTTAACATTTTTAATTCATTAGTAGTGCATTCATTAATGCATTGGTACTCCCCTATGTATACTAATAGTATGTAAAACAATATTAACAATATTTTAGTATAACAATCATTTACCAAAAATAAATTGTGTATAGAGTTTGTAAAGAAAAACTGTTTTTCAAAACATACTTACACGTTTTATAAAAAGTAAAACCGAATGTTCATTGAAATAACCTAAATGAAATAATTTATTGTAATGGTTTTTAATTATTTATTACCAATATACTATACATATCTATTTAAAACAATACATCATACCGCCGCCCCGGTAAAACAATGACACGACTGCAATAGTTGAAATTTTAAATGAGAACCAAAAAACCAAATTATTTTTCACTAAAATGATAATTCATGAATGGACAATTAATTATTATAACTAAAATATTTCAACTACAGTTACGTCGTTTTTTTACCTTATGCGTTTGCTATACCTAAACACATTGAAGCATTGAATGTAAAGACATTCCAGCACCGGTTTTTGAAGGATTGGTTGACGGATATTTTCAAAGATATCCGCCGTTCCAGTGGCGCCCGATTGTTACTAGTAAGTACTCAATCTTCGTGGAGGCTCCTTCAATGTTACCAGTAAATGGAGAGAAGAACTGCGAGCTGAAACATCTGTCCCACCTGACGAACGACTACCACCAGGCGGAAACCTACCATGGCCCATATGGAAAACAATAAATAGGCTTAGAGCCGGAGTGGCCAAGACAAGAGCCAATATGGTGAAATGGGGATACCAAGAAGGACCTGGTACAAGTGAATGCGGTGAGAGCCAATCCGATGAACACCTAATACAATGCATCCTCCCTCCGCCAGGATGCACAACTGACGACTAGGCGCTTGCCAATGAAAATGCTATATCAGTAGCCACCCATTGGCTGAAGCAAAATATCTAACACATTTATATTTTTACTTATTTTTAAAGACTATTTATTGTATTTTATTTTATTTTTATATTTATATTATTAATGAAATTAGTATTTATTATTATTATTGAAGCATTTAGTCCATTTTACCAAATTTTTTAGTTCTGTCATTGTAAATATTGTTCTACAAAATCATATCCTTAAATGCTTAACAAATGTTAAATGTTAAATGCTTAAAAGCTTTACAACCTCGAACAACACAATAATAAATAATAATTAAATTTGAGTATTTAATATTTAATATTTTATTATTCCATGTGTTTTCAATTTTTATTTCATAGGAAACCTAACAAATCTATCAATCTCTTTCTAATGATGTTCATAACGCGGCAGAATAGGCTGGGTGTGTGGAAGGCACAGTCCATTTCTTTATAGGTTTATGCAGTTAAGGTACCTCTTTTTTGAAAGGGATTGACATAAATTACCCGTTCGCTAAAAACGATTGAAACAAATAACTTTATTATGAGAATAAGCATTTGTGTATAATATGTTTTACTATAATTTCGGTTTTAATTGGTTGACTAACATAAGACCTTATTATATTTTAAAAAATAATTGTACGCTTACAAAAATATTTTATCTAATATTATATTAATGTCTTTAAGTACAGAAAGCTTATCTATTGAAATAAAAAGAAATGTGGTCTGAACAAATAAAAATAAAAAATTTCTTAATAGCGCCACAATAACACTAACGTGTATTATACACACTCTCACACGCTAAACTACCGTTCAAAGTATACATTATCATACGATGAAAATCATGCTTCCTCAGTAGCAATACTTCTCTGCCTCGAAAAGCATCAAAACCACACGACTTTTTTTCGACGGAACAGTTATTAAATTTTACAAAAAACCATGAAGCTCAAGACATTTTTTTGTTGTTTTGTGCTATTCTTTTGTCAATCGGTAAAATTAATGGATATCAGATACGAATATCGCAGCGATGACCATATCGAAAATAATAGTGAGTCTGATTATTTAAAATGCACATATCTGTTCAGTGGGTTGAAATACATGCTGCTAACTCAGATTTTAATGAACCCTCCATATAATACGCCAACAACATTGACGGTCAGTGGCGTAAGTAATTATAAAAATACAGTTGGACAACAAATAGCTTCTTTGCATAGTTTAAGAATACAGAATATGGGATCCCTGTGGCTTGTACTTTTGTACACGGGTTTAGTAACTGATTTCGCTAAACGTTCAACCGATATTCCGGCAGACTATCAGAAACTTGAAGCCACGCACAAATATGTCATCAAAAAACTACTTAAAGACCTACGCGGATGCCATAAAGATATTTCTTATGATATTTTCTATGCAATGATTCACACAAAACCTTATCCGCCAAAAAATGTGCTGGAATCTATGGTGCACACAAATTATAATGAGGCCATGGAACTGCTGACAAGAAACAATATATTAGCGGATTCATTTAAAAAAGCCTTTGTAAGGGAGTTAAAATTGATAAATATTTTTTTGCAAAAAGCTGATTTATTGTATATAAGCAGACGACAAGTGAGCTGGCCAGACACAACCATAGTACGATTTGATACATCTGATCTTGACGCGCGTACACTGGATTGGTCTACTGACAACCTTCAAAATATGAAGTCACACTTGACGCTTAGCTATTCATTTCTAAAAGCCATCATGTTTAATTTGTCGTTCAAACACCTAAAATATCTACAACACCATTCAAAATTTTCGAATAACAACGAGTTTACTCAATGGTATAACGAGGTCAAGAGATTTGGTCAATTTTTAAGCTTAACCAATGATGAACACGTAAAGAAATTGCTGTTTGCCATTAACAATCTCTCTAATGGAACAGAGAAAATAGATAGTGTGGTTGAGTATGTATACTCTGTACTAGTATCGCTTTGTCAGTCTCTCGGGTGTGAGGCTGACAAAACATTCAATATAGTCAGTAAAGAATCTGAGGCGTCTGGCGCAAGTTCATCGAATGCTGATACAAAAAGTTCGGAAAATACAATTACCCGTGTGCCGGTTGAGTATAACAGTTTAGAAAAGGCTAGGGTGTGGTTTCATAAACTCTGCCAAGCGTTCAAAAATGTCAATTTTAAGCTCATTCAATTATTGATTGAATATATTGATGAAATAAAACTGGTAAACGATATGGAGGGGTTAACTTTTGACTTCTTGTAGTCTGATATTACTATAATAACATAAATTAGTAATACTATTATCATTAAATAATAAACCATTATTAAATAATGAAATTGTTGACTCTTTTCTATTAATCCTAATTAACTTAAAAGTTTTTAACACTCGTTGTAATCATTTATTTTGTATTCATCAGTTTTCCCAGAGCTACATGTTAATTCACCCAATAAATTTAAATTTTAATGTCCCATGGCAATAATCTTGATACTTAGAACCTTTTTAAGTAAGTTGTTTCCCTTTTAATTATATTAATTTAGTATTATATAGTTAATATTATCTTATTTATATATATGTATATATAAAACAGATAAATATACCTGTATATATCTATTATATAATCTAGTGTCTGAGATTATGAATATAATTTATTTCTTATTAATCGAATCTATTTGTTCTAATTTATGATATTAGTGTATATTTTATTATCTGTATCTACTGTTATTACCTATTGTTATCTATATTACTATATTTGAAAATTGACATTTGTCCGTAAAAATTATAATAATTAAATAAATTTATAATTAAAACAATTTTTTAATAATGTCATATTTGCAAATTTAACTGCAATAAATTATCACATTAAAATTTTAATATTTTTCCATTATTTATTTTCGTTTTGGACTATTTTGACGTGACTGAGTCTCTTTTAATTTAAAGAAAATACCAACAATAAAACATTATATACTCGTTTTGTAAAGGTACAATGTACAGACACAAAAAAAAGCTCACACCATTGCAAAAACCAATAACATCGCTGCTCCACATCGAAATTATAAAATAGATCTATTAATTAACGCTCATTACTTTGTATTCTACTCCATATTAAAATATTTATTATTGCGGTGACACCAGAAGGTTATGGTAAATTTTCAACAAAGCAGTGGTTTTTATTTTAGGCTAATGCGATTTATAAATTATTTTAATTTATTGTCGGGAAAGTTTTTGTATATTTTCGCAAATCTGCGCACGTGATTTAAAACTGACACCGAGTTCAAAAGTAAACTAATATTTAAATATATGAATTGAAGTGTTGTTTATTGAATTCTCGCCTAAGCGTTTACACGAAAACACAATTTTTTAGCACAATTTTTATACCTGTTTGATATACAAATAATGAGAAAAAAAACGTTATAAACATTACTACTACGAACTAGATGGTATAATAACAAAAACGAGTAAACGTTTTCAAAGTTTTACCCAAAAACGTATAGCTGTAATTGTATGAGCAAAGTATGAGTCCGAGTTTACTGTTTTTCTTATATTTTTCAATAAATATTATTTTGACACCAAACGACTGACAATATTCTTTATCATCAACACGATGACTATGATTGGACTCCTCTTACTTAAGATGGATATGTGATTTAATAAAATATACAACCAAAATGTATCATTCGTTGTCCTACTTTGATCCACAAAAAAAAAACTTTAAATCGAAATACAGAGTTAAAAACATAAAAGTAAACGTCCTATTCATAAATAAACTACACTGATGTTTCATGTAGTTTGTTAGACTATCTTCAGACTAATTTTCAGTTCTTAAATATTAAAAATGCGCAAAAATATGCCAACCTTTCTCGTTAGGTGGTGGGGGGTTGTCAAAATTTCGGTTATTCCATATGCGTTTTTGTTGATAGCACATTTTATATTGAAAATGCTAAGGTTATAACTAATCGAAAATATTTTCAAAAAAACATAAAATTTCTGCACGTGTAGCACACATGAGAATGTCTGAGTACACTTTTTTTTCCATCGATAAAACTATTCATACATTTTAGGCAGAAAAAAACGTCGATCTAACGACAAAAAGAATGTATAAAATTGTAAATGTTTGAATTTCCAACTTTTTTTTCGTTTCTTTTTGCACACCTTAGTGTTACTTTTTACACGTTGAAAATCCGAAGGTCATAGCAAATCGTCGAAACTTGAAAATGTTATCGAATCGGATACACTGTTAACATGCCATTTGCGCACATAGATATTGTATTATTGTACGACTACTGCCTGTAATAGTCCGTAAAACAAATAGTAACCTAATATAAGTATGGCTGTCGACGGATATTCAAAAGGGAAAAAGCCATTAAAATTTGGGTCGCAACTTAAGTTGGACCGAAATGACTGAATGTGATAAAATCACTTTTAAAAAATGTCATTAAAACCAAAACTTATGCTTGGGCACTCAAAACTTACCGGGATCGCTCTAAATTGTATCCGTTATAATATTGGCATGATTTGATAATTTTTTACTTATTTTCTTTACCTTTTTTTTATGTATTAAATTACAATAAAGAAATCTTTCTAATGATTTATGTTACAACTTTTAGTAAGTTACATAAAAAAAATGTAGGTACTACATTTCATAATTTGCCTATAATATATATTTTGTCCCAAGACGTATACATTTGTTTTTGTGTATCCGTCAGCCGTAGCAGCTGAATCGCAAAAAAATAAGGCCACCGTTTTTTCGACTGTTTATGGCAAATTTCAATATTTTACATAATTATCGTTACTTTTAGTAGTTAGCATAAAAATATTATCAAAATATCAATTGCTAAAGATTGCTCTGTATTTTCGGCAAAATATTATTTATTTAAAAAGAAAATCAAGCGTATAAGTTTGCATTTAAGTTTAAATAGTCCATCTTTTTTAGACCCTCAGAAAAAGTACTAAACGTTTTCAGTTGATTTAGCTGAACGTTTTGGCTACATTCGTTTACTTTGACTACTTTTTGCTCATCGATAATGAAAACAAAATAATATATCGTTGTAAAACATACACCAAACAATAATACACAAATAACTTTAATTTTGCTACTAAACCTGTAATTCTTGTAGTTTTGGTAATTGGAGACACTTCAGTTTGTGTAAAAAATGTTTTCAAAAAAATAAGCGTATATAACAGACTTTTGCGAGATATCGTTGATTATTGGACTTATGGGTTCGTCTTGACCTAAAATGAGGCCCCTAATTTTTTTAACATGGATATGTCATTGGGCTAGGGTTCAATTGAAAAATCTGCGCGAACGCTTAACGTTACCAACTATATATATATATATATAGTATATAGATATCGCGTTTTCAATTGTATAGATAAATTAGCTTTTTAGCTTAGACTTTAAACCAATTAGTTAGATAAATTGGGTTATTATAATTTTTATTCAAAATCTTAAGACTGTACAATCACTGAAGGAAAAAATAGGACAGTTGTTTAGTATTAGTTTTATTTATTCCGTCCAACGGCAGTTTCTAATGAAGCTATATAATAATTATTATATTGTTTTTTATTTTTATGGCGACTAAATAATTTATGTTTTTATTTAATATAAATTGACAACTTTGGCAATGATTTCTCCATGACCTTTTCAACACAACCATGGTTCTAAAAGATCATCAATGCTTATGGGATTTTTAGAAACGTTTGAAATATATTCGGTAATACGAGAAAAACCACGAACATAACATAAAATTTATATATATATATATATATATATATATAAACTTCTTTTTGTGTTTCACTTTCATACTAATGTATAACAAATTGGCGACGAGGGAAACTCTTTATTTCTTACATAGACCATACTGTCTATTAAAAGTAAATTAAAGTTATTTACGTGTCTAAGAAGTCCAGTGAATTAACAAAAAAAAATGGCTGAAACCAAAGAAACAATTAAATTCAATTAAGTAATTGGAACACCCGGAACATTTGAACCTGAAAGGACGTGACCATATTCGAATCTAAGCTGACAAATTTTTTTTTGGCAAACGGAATCGAAAACGAAGTTCAAAAGAAAGCCATAATGCTTTCGTTAGTAGGGGAAGTAATTTATATAATTGTATTCGGTTTATGCGTTCCAAGCAACCCAAACACTCAGACTTATGCTACACTTATCGGTCTTTTAAATAAATATTATAAGCCAGTAAAGTCCTACTTCGCTGCGAGACATGCGTTTTATCAAGCCAAAGAACGTACAGATAAAACAGTTCCTAAATGGAGTGCCTGAGTCAAAAAGTATAACCATTACACATTTAATATGAGTTCTCAATTTTAATCAGACAGAAAAAATTTAAGTAAAAAAAAAAATTGAATTGTGTAAACTAAAAACTGTGTTGCCGAATTTGTTTTCCGTTTAATATGTTATGAATACATATGAGTTCTAACTACTGACAAATTTTCAACTTAAAGGTCCTAAAATTACGGCTAAAAAACTAAAAAAAAAAAACTTGAACCCCCTCTAGGGGGGTGAGAAATGGGTTTAATTTAAATTTGATACAATTGACGTATGCGGGCATATCAAATTAATATTTCTAATAAATTTCAACTCGATCCGACACTTTTTCTCGAAATTATAGCCAGTAAAAGTTCTAACTTAAAAACTCATGCGGTTTTGTTTTTTGCAAATTTCGACTGTGAAGAAGTAAACTTTATCAGCTTTTACCCTCCCTCCCCCCCAAAGTACCAACTAGTAAAATTTGTGATTTATAGAGTTGCTACTCGAAGGAATTGGTTCAGAATTAAAAAAGTTACAGTGTATACAGGTAAAAACATTTTTAACTCTAATTATATTATCTGTATTGTACTAAAGCCTAAGATACCTTTCATATCGTTTGATAATTCAGACGAAGTATAAATAATTGTTGGTGTCGCCAATTTTTTTGGTTTTTACATTTAAAAAGCTATTGTATATTACAAAAACAATTTTTTTATTTTTACTGTTCTTTGTTTTTATGTAAACAAGATTTTTAAGGTCATATGTTCTTTTATTATTTATGTTTTTGAACGTTTGTATTTGCTTGCTTGATAGTTCCATATCGTTCCTAATAGTATAGCAAATACAAATTTTTCGCTAAAAAAAAATAATCGTTTTCAATAAATAACATCCGAAAAAAAATATAGTTAAAAAAAACTAAAAAACACGCTTAAATAGTAAAATAAACTAAAAAGTA